CAAGTTTTTAAACCAAAAAAACTAGTGGGATAGTTAGGTATTTGGCTTGACAATACTCTTACTTTCAAGAACCATGTTCAAATTAAGATATCAGCTGCTGAAAGAGTTCTTAATTAAATAATCAGACTTTCAAATACTGGAAAAAGTCTTACTTTTCAAGCTATGAGACAACTTTATATAGCTTGTATTACTTCAGTAGCTGATTATGGTGTTCAGATTTGATGGAAGAATCAAAAGAATCTTCTCCATAAGTATGAGAAACTTTAAAACTCTGCTTTAAGAAAGGTTCTAGGAGCTTTTAAAACTTCTCCAATTTATGCTATGAAGATTGAAGCTGCTATTTCTCCTGCTAAAGTAAGGTTTAATAGACTATGCAGAAACTATGCTTATAGACTATTAAAAATGCAAAAAGAATATACAATCAGAAAAAGAGTATCTTCTAGCTTTCCACCTTATAATAATGGTGTCAATCTTGATTGGAGAAGGTTTTTAGATTGGAATCAATCAGAATTAAATAATGAATATGTTGTACAAACATCAACTAAAAGAAAAAGAAAAAGAAGAAAAATCAAGTATCCAAGTCAACTATTTAGAATTTGTTCAATGATTTCAAATATATTACCTTCTCTAAAAACAGAGAGAATCAAAGCAAAATAGAATGCACCTTGGTCTGAAAACCTAGCTGATTTGATAGATATTCAAATTGAAAATTCAGACAAGAAAACAGCTAAAGATAGTCACATAAATAGAATTAAAAATCTAAATAATAGATCTTTAATTCTCTATTCAGATAGATCCAAAGCTGAAGAAAGTCAATATGCTGGTGCTGGTGTATACAATCTACAAGATAATATTAGATTTTCATGAAATCTAGGAAAATATTTTGAAGACTTTGATGCAGAACTGTTTGCTATAGATAAAGCATTTAAATTAGCAAGTTCTACCTCTCAGTCTCAATCAAGATCAATATCAGATATCTGGGTGTTTTCTGATAGTCAAGCTGCTATTCAGAGACTCATAAATCAAGATCTTAATTCTGGCTTATATTATCTTCAATCTATAAGAAAAACTGCTAAGTCTATTAAAAATCAGCAAATTAATCTACATCTTTATTGGGTTCCTGCACATGTAAATATACATGGAAATGAACAAGCTGATCTAGCAGTAAAGAAAGCTACAGAATTAAATCAAGTTTGTTCTGAAAGATATATATCTCTTACTTATATAAAAAGACAAATAAAAGAACAAGCAATGATAGAGTGGTTTGAAGATCTTTTTAATAGAGAAAGTTCTACAAATCACTACTCTCAATTCAAAATAAAACCCAGATGGAAAGCATCTACTGTTTCTATATCTAAGAAGATATGGTCAACTATTTGCCAATTAAAGCTTGGTCATGGATATTTTAGATCTTATCTAATAAGATTATCTGACTACTCTTTTAATTTATGCTATTTCTGTAATTGTGTTGAAAATCCAAAGCATCTACTATTAGACTGCTCAGCTTATCATACTGAAAGAAGAAAAATTCAACAAGAACTTAATATTTCTCAACTATCTTTAAATTTTATTTTTGAAACTCAATTAAACTTAAAATGGCTAGTTTTATTTCTGAAATGTACTGGAATAGCTACTAGACAGTGGCTTTTCCAAATATGCTAATTTTATTTCTTTTTGATTTGTATCACATTGCTACAAGAATTATTATTTTCCTTTAAAATTAATATTATGTCCTATCTGCTATTTGACTTTTGTGGAGAAAGAACATCTCATATTGCCTTGAAATACTTTGAATTTTTTTCTTTATTCAGTTTCTACAATATATACTAAGTAAATCCTAACAGAGAAGCTGTTAGGTAGTCTTCATAGTTACTGACTGTGTAAGACTATAATGAATAATAATAATAATAATAAATATAGATTCTGTTACTTTTTATATTTTTGCCAATAACTCCACAACCATTAATTGTACACATATGAGAATACCACCTTTCAAATTGTCTCTCTGACCTGCTCAGAATGACCCTATTTTTATTAAAAAATATCAACTTTTCCATATTATGTTTTACTCACTATTTGTACTATATATTTTATATTTTTGCTAATAACTCTACTACTATCTACTTTACAGATATAACACTATCTCTGTTCAAATTATCTTACTAACCTGCTTAGAATCTTCTTATTTTCATTATAATATATCTACTTTTGCATCTTATGTTTTACTCACTATTTGCTTTATACAGCTAACCCTAACTTTAATTCTAATTACTTATTTTTCTGTTACTTTTTTATATTTCTGCCAATAACTCTACAATCATTAATTATAGACATGTGAAACTACTACTATTCAAGTTATCTCTTTGACCTGCTTAGAATATCTCTATTTTTGTTAAAATATATTAACTTTCACATCTTATGTCAGTGTCAGTATTTGCTATATAAAATATATATATTTGCTAATAACTCTATAAAACTACTACTGTTTAAATCATCTCTCTGATCTGCTTATAATTATTTTATTTTTCTTACTATATATTCACTACTTGTGGAGAAAAAGTCCATCTAACAGAAATTACAATTTTAATTACTGTAAAAAATAATACTAATTTATTTTGAATTTTTGTTACTTCTATATTTTTGCCAATAACTCTACAATTATTAATTATGTAAATATAATACTATCATACCTTAAATTATCTCTCTAATCCAGTGCTTAAAATATTCTTATTTTTGTTACAATATATCAACTTTTAAATATTGTATTTTTGTTACTATTTGCTCTATACTTTCTGTTACATCTTCGTATTTGCTAACAACTCAAAAACTATTAATTATATAACTATAACAGAACTATTATTTGAATTATGTTTCTGATCTACTTATAATAATTTTATTTTTATTACTGTATCTTAACTTATGCAGTCTTGTAACTTAGTTACTATTTAATTTATATATATATCTGCATCTGCATCTTTTATCTGCATTTTGCATCTGCATCTTGCATCTGCATCTAAATTCAATTTTATTACTGTGCTTATCAGAACTCTAATTCATCTAAATACTTATTTCAGTACTTTGTACAACTCTAGTCTACTTAAATATTTATTAAACTACTTACTAGCTCTCTAACTCTGTCTTACCCTCTTTTTTGTTGATTAATTATTTACTAACTCTGATGCCAGCTATTACTACTTTTAAACTGAAGTAGTCAGACAAATAATATAATTAAAAATTAAAAACAAAACTTTTATTTTTAATCTTTTTATACTAACTGCAATTCTCTATCTGACTAATTAACCAGAATCTTGTTCTAAGATAACACTCTAAACTTGAAATATATAATTCACTAGAAATATAAACATTTGTCTGATATACAATCTTATTATATATATATAGTAGCTCTCTACTCTAAACTCTTTTTCTAGACCCTATCTTAGTATTTTATTATTATATTTATCTAGCTGACAATAAATATTTGTTTCCAACTGTATCTAGTTAATCTTCTAACCATTTCTTAATTTAACAGCTTCTTATTATTATAAATATAGGCTTAGATTAATCAAGCATCAGATAGTATGAAATCTCCAGAAGATGTTACATGGCCTAACTTGTGAGAATCATACATGTGAATCAGCATAATAAAAATTCTATAGAAGAAATTTTATATAGAAAAAAGTACATGAGATAAAAGATCTGGTATTGGCAACTATCTACAACTTGTAGACAAGATTGCCACTAGCTCTCAACAAGAGATTTATGCAGTGGCAGCCTTTTATATGTACTTATAAGCATATGACTTAGTGCCTTGCAAGAACACATGTACTTTCAACAGCTCACAAGCTGAGGCTCTGAACTCTTGTAAGTGTTGTTTGTCTGTATAAGGAGTTTGTGGGTGAATTCTTACATAACTCTGAATATATAATAATAACATAATTCTTACAGATTATAGAAATCTCAGTATTTAGACTTCTAGTTTACAGATTTATATATTCTATATATAACTCTCTCTCATCAGTTGCAGGCATTAATCTACTTAGCTCTTTTGTACAACAAAAATTGACAGCAAAATTGATGGCAAAAACTAACAACCAAAATTAACAACTAAAATTAACAGCAAAATTGACAGCAAAAATTGACAGTCAAAATTGATGATGGTCAAAATTGACAGTAAAAATTGATAGTAAAAATTAATGGCCAAAATTGATGATGCCAAAATTGATAGCCAAAATTGATGACAGTCAAAATCAACAACACCAAAATTGACAGTCAAAATTGATGACAGTCAAAATCAACAACACCAAAATTGACAATGGTAAAAATTGATGACACCAAAATTGACAACAGTCAAAATTGAGAGTAAAAATTGACAACACCAAAATTGACAACAGTAAAAATTGACAGCCAAAATTGACAGTGAAAATTGACAACAGTAAAAATTGACAGTAAAAATTGATGACGGCCAAAATTGATGGTAAAAATTGACAACACCAAAATTGACAATGGTAAAAATTGACAGCCAAAATTGATGGTGAAAATTGACAACAGTAAAAATTGATGATGGCCAAAATTGATGGTAAAAATTGACAATGCCAAAATTGACAATGGTAAAAATTGATGATGCCAAATTTGACAACCAAAATTGACAACCAAAATTGACAGCAAAAATTGATGGTGAAAATTAACAGCTAAAATTTACAGCAAAAATTGATGACCAAAATTAATGCTGAAATTGCCAGCAAATATTTACAGTGAAAATTGATGATCAAAATTGATGGTGAAATTTAACAATCAAAATTGATCATAAAAATTGGCAGTCAAAACTGACTTAAGAAGCTAGTGCTGTCACAACTATACTTTTCCTTCTGCATGATGAGTGACCTGCTGAGATACTTGATCTAAACACCTAATGGCCTTTTGACTTTGTATCTGTGCTTTCTCAAACTCAGACTGATTGGGCACTTGTGTTGTTTGCTCTCTTCCTGCAGCTTTGCACTGATATGTCTTCATGGCAGTTCTGTACTGATTATAATAGAAGACCTCTATCTGTACAACTTTCAACTGCTGCTACATATATCTCTGATGCTGTGCATGTTTTTCCTGCTTTCTTATCAGGCTTTCTGGGTCAGAATCCTCTTCAAGATCCATTCTGCTCAGTCTTGGCCCAAGAAGTGTCAGATTGCTGTTGGGCTGGGGCTGAGGGTGAGACTGCCAGAATCAAGTTGCTATTGGAAGGTTCATGCTCCAGACCTGCTGTCTCTCTGCCTCAACAAGAGCCTGAATGTGTAACACAAGCTGAGATGTAAGCCACTTGTGGTTGGTATGCAGCTGGCTTGCAGATTAGCTCTCTTTCTCTGCAAATAAGTGCAGGACATGATGTTCAGTCATAGTGGCTTGAAGATGGTGGCTCAGCTCACTGGAATGTACACCAACAGCCAGCAAAAAGACTGCTGGATTGAGGAACATTACTGTGGAAACAGAATGTTGATCTTGTTCAATGGTAAGCCAGACATCAACATTACTGGGAACTGAGGGAAGAGCCACATTCAGAGACAAAGATTGACCACCAGCCTCCCAATCTGCCAGGGGCAGCTCATCAATCATGTCCAGCTTAATAATGGTGAGTTCTGACTGGTACTACTGAAGATAGTTAACCAGTCCTGAATGGATACTAGCCCAGCTTTGCAGTTTTCCTCTCTTTCCATGTGTTCAGAAGGCTGCCATGCTTGGATAGAGCAAGATCCAGTGGCTGCAGATGAAGATCTGCTTTATAATTGTCTGCCACTCACAGGCCTGCTGAACCCCATACATGCAGATGATGATATCAAAGAACTGGTGAAAGAGAACCTGGTACTGCTTTGACTCCCAGTGTTTCTACAGCCAGTTGCTGTTGTTCTCATTGCTGTTCCAGCCCCAGAGCCATGTAAAGAGTATCTCAATGTTCCTGACTTTCATTCTGAAGCCTGTAATGAACTGAATATCTTTCTAAAAGTGGGAATGTTAAAAGACTTGTGAGATACCAGTACAGGTGAGTGATATATCACTATTGCATGCATCCTCAAGCCTAGTGGAATGGAGTGGCTGCTGAATAATATAGTTAGTCAGGCTTCTGAAGACATTCTTCTGGAAGGCCCTCAGGCAGAGGGTTACCAGCAGCTGCAGCAGCAGTACAGAGTGGGCAGAGTCTAGATGAATATCCAGCATGCAGCTGAATATGTCATGAAAGAGCATGAAGTCAGACTTGAACTCAATCAGTTGCTGGTACTGCAGGTGGTAGGTTATCTGTAGAGTTGGAGTATTGAAGACTATGTGCATCTGATATAGTGGCTTGAATGTCATGGCTGTCCAGTCAAGCTTGTCAAGAAACCAAGCATAGCCATACAGCTCCAGTGTGGATGCCATTTCAAGACCCTTCTGAATTCTCTTCATGTCAGAACTCTCTTGAGGTGATTGCATCTGGTGATCAAGCTACAGGCCACTGCTGCAGCTGAGATGATTGTCCTGGCCTCCATATATACACAGAAGGCATTGAAGAAACATCATCATTATCTGAGTGTGTTTCCAGTGCACTACAGTGTGTGGCTGCAGGCTGTAGATCATCTCAAATCCAGTGCACAGCTTGTTGATGTTCCACTGCAGCCACCCCAGAAGCTGGTCAGTGTAATAGTTGAGAAAGGGTACTGGGCATTGAGACACAACTGTAGAATGATTAGCTAGATTGCTTTCCTGAAGAATTTAATTCATGGCCTGCAGAACAGCAGCAGTGATCTGGTACTTCTTCTGAGTCCTGTAGAACTGCTGGCAGCAGTTGGAAATGGTAACATGGTACTGTTGCTTGATGTAGATGTATATGTGCAGCAAGACCAGAGAGGAATGGCTGATGGCCTTTCCAATATGCTGCCAGATCTGTATCAGCCTGGAATCTAGAGCCAATATGTCCAGATTCTCATTTGCAAATGGGGAATGCTTGCTGGCCATAAAGATCTTCTTGATGATGTTGTAGAACTGGCAGTAGAGCAGATCCTGGTGGTGAAGTGGGGAGCACTGATATGACTCTAGTGTCATGGACCCCAGATCATGCAGAAACAATAGCAGATAGAACTGCTTGTGCCAGAACTCTTCCTGTGGATGTTCATGTTCTGAATCAGAAGTCTGAGTATTGGCAACTGGTGTATCACCTGCTGAATGTTCATCCAGGTTGCTGGTATTCTTATCATTTTCATCTTTACTGCTCTTACTGAGCTCTGGCTGATATACATCTTCATCTTCACTTCTGAGTGCTGGCTCCACTGACCTGTATTGAATGTTGCTGGAGTCTGAGACCTTGGACATCACTCTTTGCTGGACATGGCTGTAAAGTCAGTGGAACTGTTGGAGCTGGACAGCTGCTGCTGGGTGATCATTGTTGATCTGCATCTCCATTGAATTGTCTGGTAAGCTATCAGGCTCAGATAAAGTAAGAGAAGAGATTCTTTGTGCAGCTGGTGAATCTTTCAGCCATTTACAGAAACAATCCAGACAGCAATATTATCAGATGAATGTGCAGGATGCATGTGTTGGCTTCTGGTATGACAGGAAGCTTCAGGGTGAGACCATCTTCTTACTAATATTATAGAAGCTGATGGTCAGATAGTGCCTGTCCATGACCTGATTCCACATGCAAAAGAAGACATCACATGTGCTGGACCAGATGGCATGCTGGGTTGAGAGCTTCAGATTCTTAGCAGTCAGAAGAAGTATGAGTTCCTGAAAGTGCTGAAGTCCTGGATCTTGAACAGTTGTCTGCATGCACTTTCAGAGATGGTGAAGTCTTGCTGGCTGTAGTGGAAAGTGGAACTCCTGTATCTGTGGCTGCTTATAAAAAGTCTGATTGTGGCCTTCTGCCTGAGCTGTAGTGGAACTGAGCTGAACATGTGTGGCACTGGATAGCAGGTGGAGAAGTGTAAATATGAAGTAAACATGATGAAGAGCTGGAAGAAAGATCTTGTCTGTCCAGAGAGTATACTTCTGCTCTGTAATGATGTAGTGCTGGCACTGGGAGCTGAAAAGCCAGGGGAAGAGAATGTAGATCTCAATCTCAGGAAATTCAACCAGTCATCCAAACAGAAGGTGAGGGATTCAGTAAACTGATCTCCAGAACTAGTGGACTCTTTTGGTCTGCTCATCTCTTCACTGGACTGAAATGGAATCCAGGTGAAGAGAACTCTTCAGGTTGCTTGTCAGGAACTGGTTAACTTTCCATTGGAACTCCTCACAGGCCACTGCAAGACTCAAGACCAGACTACTGGCACTATCAATGTCAATTATGGCATGCAGGGATGCTGGCATCAGGATAGTATCACCTTCCAGATCAATGGTTATGGAGTGTGGAGGCACTTTCTCATGGACTAAAGGCTCCACTGATGCGGACATCCCACTGTATAGTCTTTGGTGCTGATGAACTGGCAGGATGGTGTCCCACTGTATAAGATAGGAAGACATGCTGGCATGCTCTAAGACATCTGAACATTCCCAGCTTGCCATCTGTAAGAGAGATACTGTTGGCATGGAGAGTGGCTCTGATGCAGCATGAGCCTTAGTAGAGCACTCATGATGAGTCTGTAGTTGTGCCACCAGCTCCTGTACAAGTGTATTGTCTTCTTCTGTTGGTTCCACTGTATTTGTGGGCAGGAAGGGTCCATGATCTGACCTTGGCCCTGGTGTACTGGGCCTGGACAGGCCTGAAGACATTAGCAGTAGTACTGAATCTAGAATGTAGTTAGAGATTTAAAATGCTTGATCATCTTATTCTATTGCAGACAACTGACCATTCTCACTGCTGCTGGATTCTGCTGGTGATGGAGAGCTCTTGTGCTCTATTTTATCAGACTCAGACTCAAGCAATTCTTCTTCAATCATGTCTGGTGGCTCAGAGCTTCTGCACTCAACAGATACTGCATTAAGGACTTCCTGTAGGTCTGCAAACACATAGGCTGAATCCTCAATAGACTGGAAAAGACTGGCTGTACTTTGAGGATTGCAGATCAAGAAGATATTCTGAAACAATATTAATATGCTTGCTGATGTGACTGCTTGCAGCTGCTGTTGTTGTCTTCAATATGCTTGCACTTGTATCTGAACTGCATTTCTCTCAGTTGCATACTTGTATGGCTGTCTACAGCCCATGCTGACTAAAGTGATTTTCACTGATGTGCTTGCTGCATGGAGAAATTACAGAGAATGCACTGGAATAATATTAACTCTGAAGTGTCTGAGTCAGAGTCTTGAGATGGATGAGATTTTGGCTGGACTTACTGAGTGAAATGAACATTTGTGATAGATCAGAAATGCCACTCTTCTGATTATTCCAAGTCTATAAATCTAGTAAAAATGTCAGTCTCTTTCTTCTGCCAACTTTGAGCCTACAATTGAAGCTCTGTTTTCTCTATTGCTTTATTGCAATCACTTCAGATCATCTCTTTGATAGTCTGAGGCTTCATTCTGGTCTCTTCTCTTCTCTTTCCTGTTCTTCCAGTTGTTGAATGGATTGCTGTTGACCATGATAGCTTAGAGATATTCCAGTATCTGACTGTGATCTTCCAGCACAGAGACAGAGCCATGCCTCCTCAGTGCTTTTACTGTACTTCAAAGAAAAAAAGCAAGAAGAACACCAAATCAGCTCCAGTCCCCACTATTAGTGATGGTGGAAAGCAGTTGATGCACACTGTTGAACAGTTCTCTGTCAAGCAACATGTCTCTAGGTGGTGAGTAGCAGCCCTGAATCTTATGGTTTTATGTATACCATTAATTAACAGGTGGTTCTGGATAAAGGTCTTGCCCAAACCACTCCTTCCAACAAGAGTACACCATCTTCAAGTCCCATGGGTGTTCCTGCATGTACATTATACAACAGCAAGCCCAATCTGAAAAGCCAGAACTGATGACTATCTAGCTCTCAATCAGTAACACCAGAAGAGGTTTTGGCTTCTGATAATTCAATTTCATATCAGATAAGCAACAGGCACTCAGAGGTGATCTGTCAAGAGAATAGAAAAGAAAAGACATCTAGATTGAGCCAGAGTCCAGTTCTGGAGAACAGCTGCTTTCAGAAACAATCAAGACTCTTGCTCAGCAGCTCTTAAGTGTCAACATCAATTCAGACACCACAGAGAGAGAGAGAGACATCAGAATAATTCTCCTGCTTGACTGATAACTTTTCTGATGCTGACACTGGCTATTCTGGAAACCATCATTAATGATTGAGCATAATTGATTCATTGGCAGCATACTCAACATTGGCTTCAGATCTGAATGTAGATCTGGATGGATGGGATCACATCAACAACTCAGTATGAAGGGGTTCAAGAGAACACTTGCTTTATAGACAGCAGAGAGAGATCAGGTGTATGGAGAAGATAGTAGAAAGAAGAGCAAATTGCAGAAGCAGGCATTGCAGATGGCCATGCATCTGAACAAGATGGTCTGCTGAAGAGACCACAAGGCTGGTGCAGCTGTAGAAGAGGCATGGCAACAACTGGACTTTGATTAAAGAGCTGGACAAGAATATGCCTGAGCCCAGGCTGTGGAACTGTACACAGGTGGACCTTAAGAATTGGATGTGAAATGTGAAGATTGGCCTTATGAGGTATGCAGTGGCCTTCTGTATGGGGCAGTCTGGTCTTGTAAACTAACATTTGACCACAGGAGAGGTAATCCAGTACCAGATGACTACTGTCAGATTCACCTAGGTGACTGGCACCTGAAATCAATTGCACAAGGGCAGCTAAGACAACAAGAATGAGAATAGCTTCCAGGCACTCTAGCATGGTTGGACAAGTATTATGGATCTAATGAGGTGGTTGGGGAAAGATTTCATATGCAGCATGGCAGAAGAGAAGCAGCCTATTGAGCTGACTTAGGGAAATAGTTGTTCCAAGCTGATCAGATACTTTGCCTGTGAAGCCACTGCTGGACATGCTGCATAAAATTTGGCAATTCTGGCTTGAATTATATGCATCCATTAGCAAATTACAGTAGCAGGAAATATCATGCTGAAAACATCAGAATGAGAGTAAAAGAAGACACTGTAGCAGATTCAAGATAATACAAGAAAAGCTGAAGAGAACAGATCTATAGAAGAGAAGACATGCAAATGATAAAATCCAGACTTCTGTCACCCAATTCAGAGAATCCATCTTGCAGTCAATGTTTGCAGATGAAAACCAGCAGTCAAAATTGACAATGGCCAAAATTGATGGCCAGAATTGATGGTCAAAATTGACAGTAAAAATGGACAACAGCCAAAATTGATGATGCCAAAATTGACAGTGAAAATTGACAATGGTCAAAATTGACAACACCAAAATTGACAGTCAGAATTGATGACACCAAAATTGACAGTAAAAATTGATGATGGTCAAAATTGATGACACCAAAATTGACAGTAAAAATTGACAATGGTCAAAATTGATGACACCAAAATTGACAGTCAGAATTGATGACACCAAAATTGACAGTAAAAATTGACGACGGTCAAAATTGATGGCCAAAATTGGTCACGGCGGTCAAAATTGACAGTGAAAATTGACAACAGTAAAAATTGACAGTAAAAATTGATGGTCAAAATTGACAGTAAAAATTGACAATGGTCAAAATTGACAACACCAAAATTGACAGTCAGAATTGACAACACCAAAATTGATGGTCAAAATTGACAACGGTCAAAATTGATGACGCCAAAATTGACAGTCAAAATTGACAACACCAAAATTGATGATGCCAAAATTGACAGTAAAAATTGATGAGTCAAAATTGACGACAGTAAAAATTGACGACGCCAAAATTGACAGTAAAAATTGATGATGGTCAAAATTGATGACACCAAAATTGATGGTCAGAATTAACAACACCAAAATTGATGGTCAAAATTGACAATGCCAAAATTGACAGTAAAAATTGATGACAGTCAAAATTGACAGTCAAAATTGACAACGGCAAAATTGGTCACAGCAGTCAAAATTGACGGTCAAAATTGATGACGGCAAAATTGGTCACGGCGGTCAAAATTGATGGTCAAAATTGATGACAGTAAAAATTGACGATGCCAAAATTGATGATCAGAATTGATGACACCAAAATTGATGGTCAAAATTAACAACACCAAAATTGACAGTAAAAATTGACAACGGTCAAAATTAACAGTCAAAATTGACAGTAAAAATTGATGACAGTCAAAATTGACAGCCAAAATTGGTCACGGCAGTCAAAATTGACAGTGAAAATTGACAATGGTAAAAATTGACAGTAAAAATTGACAACAGTAAAAATTGACAGTAAAAATTGACAACAGTCAAAATTGACAGTAAAAATTGATAACACCAAAATTGACAGTAAAAATTGATGAGTCAAAATTGACAACAGTAAAAATTGACAACACCAAAATTGATGACAGTCAAAATTGACAGTAAAAATTGACGGTCAAAATTGACAGTCAAAATTGACAGTCAAAATTGATGATGGTCAAAATTGACTGTCAAAATTGACAACAGTAAAAATTGATGTTGTCAAAATTGATGGCCAAAATTGACAACAGTCAAAATTGACAACAGTCAAAATTGACTGTCAAAATTGACAACAGTAAAAATTGATGTTGTCAAAATTGACAGCCAAAATTGGTCACAGTAGTCAAAATTGATGATGCCAAAATTGACAGTCAAAATTGACAACACCAAAATTGACAGTCAAAATTGACAACAGCCAAAATTGACAACAGCCAAAATTGGTCATGGTGGTCAAAATTGACAACACCAAAATTGACAGTAAAAATTGACAGTGAAAATTGATGACAGTAAAAATTGACAGTAAAAATTGATGACACCAAAATTGACAGTCAAAATTGACAACACCAAAATTGACAACACCAAAATTGACAGTCAAAATTGACAACACCAAAATTGATGGTCAAAATTGATGACAGCCAAAATTGATGCCAGCCAAAATTGGTCACAGCAGTCAAAATTGATGACATCAAAATTGACAGTAAAAATTGACAGTGAAAATTGATGACAGTAAAAATTGACTGTAAAAATTGACAACAGTAAAAATTAACAGTCAAATTCAGCAGCCACAACTGACAACAGTGAAACTTGCTGACCAAATTCAATGGTTAAAATACATCTTGTGCATCCACAACAGGTTCAGCTTATTGAAAACTGGTGGTCAAAATTGACAACAATGAAAATTGATGGTAGAAATTGGTGGTCAACACTCACAGTCAATAGTCTGCAGCCTCATTCTTTGGAGGAACTGTGTTCCAGTTGATATTGGTATTAGCTGTTGTTGGTGGCCAACATCAGCAGTTAGAATTGATCAGAGAGAGCCAGTATCACTATAAGCAATTCAAATCAAACATGTTCAGATATTCTGCCACACCATGCTTAAAGACTGTGGAGCTTCAGCAGTGTCTCAAGCTCCAGGCTGGGAAAGGAGACTCAGCATCAGCATGTCATAACACATCAGACACATCTCTGAGTGAGAGGATTCTTCTTCTTGAATGAAAGGCCATGGGCACCATACCAACAGTTGATAGCATCAGAGGATATGCTGGCACACATTTGGTAGGATGCTAATATTAGCTAGTTGCACCATCACCAGGCTGAAGGCTTATTGGTGCATCTGACTACTGAGTATTCAGCATCAACACAACTATAGTGGGAGATATGATGAATGGCTTTCAGCTGAAATTACTTTGATTGGATCTAACTACTAATCTATTCAACTCTGCAGAATGAATCATCTAGAATAAACAGTCATGATTGTTCCATATATCTCTAATAATATTCAGACATCTTGACAGAAGCACTGCATGGTTCTTGGGTGTTTCTTTTTAAATTTCATGGCCATGCAGCCATGCCAGGCCTCATACTGTATTCAGATTAATCATGTCTTGAACTATGCCAGCCTCTCTCTGCAGTAACATCACCAGTTCATTGAAACTCTTCTGCATTGCCTGCCAGTCAAGAATGTTGCTTTCAATCTGGACATCTCTGCACACCAGACAGTAGGTGTATGTAGTCTTGTTCATCTGCTTATAGCAGCAGATGCATGCCTTGTCCTGGGTCTCATCTCTCTCCAACCAGCTCAGGCTCAGCAGGATAAGTCAGAAGGCATGAATACAGATGTAGCCTACATCTAGAATCTCCAGAATGCTGATCAGAATGCCTGGACTGGCATCAGTCTCACCTCCAGGCAGTGGCAGGTCCTGATTGAAGGCATTGATGCACATATCTCAGTCCTCAATACTCATACTGCTATAGACTGCTGTAACACAGTAGTCTTGCTTCTGCAGTCACTGTATGGAAAGTTAGCTGGAGAAGAAAACACAAGAAAAGGGGATACAGTAATCTATTATCTCAAGCATGTGAACCATACAGAGGAATTCTGTCAGAATAACAATCTTCTCTGGATGCCCATAATAGTCTCTCTTCATGCTCTGCAGGATATGTTGAATTGCACAACACTTGAAGCTGGAATTGGCCAGAGTATCAATTGCATGAATGTACAGTGCCTTCTTGTCCCCACCAGCATGTCATCTGTTCTCCATCATCTTCTCATCAGTAAGCTTGAGCTTGTGTTGCTTGATCTTCATGAGGTCCAGAAGGGCTGGAAAGATGGCAATGATTCAGTTTATGCACAACTTCTTGAAAAAGATCTGGCTAGAAAGCTCAGATTTAGATTCTTGATTATACTTCTTTTATTCCTGCAGGCTTCTCATGTAACTGTCTTTTAGTTTTTGAATTTCATGCTGCTCATGCTGCTGGAGCTCATCTCTGATCTTGGGCTCTAGGCTGCAGAGAACATCATGATGGTGGTTGCAGGGCAGCTCCATAATGGGTTTGTTGAACCAACTTGTCTTGATAGTGCAGCAGATTATCAGACACTCAAGCACCTGATCAAACTGGTGTACTGCTGACCAGAACTTGATCTGTTCTGTTCTGGACAGCTGCTTCTTGCTGATCAGTAGCTGCACTCTGGCTGAGAGAGTCTTTTATTGATCAGATTTGGCAAATTGCAGTCTGGTGTCATTACCCCATTCATCAGAGGCCAGTATTGTCATCCAGAAGAGCATGTCTGTCAGTTCTTTATCATATGGTGTTCCAGAGAGCAGCCAGGTGGCTGGGGTGTAGTCTTGCTTTCCTGTAACTGCATTGATCTCTTAAAACTGCCTGATAGTCTTGCTGTCAAAGCCCTTCTTCTGATGGCATTCATCTCAGATTACAGCTTGCCATTGTAATTGCTGGGCATCTTGTTTCTGAATGTTACAGAGAGGTATCATCATACAGCTGAAGAGCAAGCCTGGTGTAATCAGAAACATGTGCTAATAACTCTGCTGGAGACTCAGATCATGTTGTCTCAGCATTGTGTGCTATACAGTCTGTATGAATGCATGGCCCAAGTTGCCAACCTTTGTGGAAGTTAAGTCTCCATGGCCAATGAAGAGATTCAGTTTCAGACAGTTCTCTGAGTCACAGAGAATAGAGTTGGCCCACTCTCTTGTCCAGAGGAGAAGAAGATCTTTAAGCACTACCACCAGCATTGCACCTCACAGCAGTTGACTCAGACAGCATGCAGTTATCCCATCTGGAACACAGCCATACAGAATGGGGAATATATTCTGAGAGGGATATCTTAGATAATGCTGCTTTGAACTCTTGTGTTCTTCTTCTGTGTTCATGACTGCAGGAAGATGCTTGTTGACCATTGCAGAATTCTTACAGCACTGTTTGATGTGCAGGCAGTTGTAGATAATTCAGACACTCAGAACAAAGTACAATATCATCTCCATAGTTTTGCCAATTCCCATCTCATCAGCAATGAATTCATCTTGCTCTAACTCTTGATTCTTGAGAAGCATCCAGAATGTGCAGTAAAGCTGGTGGGGTGAAGTATCTTGCAGCATGTCATGAATAAGAATCTTTCTGGTTAAGTCTGTACCATCATTTTTATTCTGCAGGAGCATGAAGAAACTGGTGAAATTCTGTCATGTTTGACTGTCCATCTGCTCACATTGAAATCTGCCAGACTTGATGAGTTCTGCCAGGTCAACTTGCTTAGTGTTGCCCTTGTCACTAGTTTGTGGCTCAGGTCTCAGTTATGTCACCTTGTCAAGAAATTCATAACCTGTGTCCAAGAGTAAAGTGTTGTCACCATTGATTATCTCAACATCTGGAGAGTGGTGCTCTTGTTGAATTTCACAGAATAGGATTGGTGGACCCTCTTTTTGAATTTCACTAGATGAAGCTGGCAGGTATTCATTTTGAATTTCACTGTCCTTGATTAATGCTGATGTTGTTCTTGAAACTGGCTGCTCAACTACAATATGCACAGGTGTGGAGTCACATTTACAGTCATCTCTAATCTGAGTTGGGCCATCTTGAGAATTCTGGACTTCAGTGGAGGCAGTGAGGACAGCACCTGGGTTTGGTGAATCTATCACAGTGTTCAAGTTCATTAGAGTGTCTGGGTGGTTGGCCATGCTATCAATTCCTTGTTGAATTTCACAGGATAGGGTTGGTGGGCCCTCTTTTTGAATTTCACTGGGTGAAGCTGGTGGATATTCATTTTGAATTTTGCTGTTCTTGGTTGGTGCTGATGTTGTTCCAAGTCCATTAGAGTGTCTGGGTGACTAGCTATACTATCAATTCCATTGAAGCCATTCTTGCAGTCACAATGCAGCTCATTAATAGTTGTGTCCATGTGCATGCTGTCCTGGGGGCTGTCTTGATTGTGTCAAGAGAGGGGATGAGAGGAAGACAGTGTGGATGCAGGAGATGGCAAGCATGTGGTGATCTGGTGTTGATGGATTGCAGGCATATTATGGTGCTCATCATCATCTAAGAACTCTGTCTCTGGGCCTTCAGACATGTTCCCATCATTATTGGAGCCAGTGACTGACACAATTTGTCTTTTTTGAATTTCACAGATATGAATGGGCTCTGTATTCTGGACAGTGATCATAAAGTTGAGGGTCAGAGATTCATCTGTTTCTTTGCTCAGAATCTCCTCCAGCTGCATTATGCACACTGATTGCTATAGTTACTTGTTGATGATGGTGACCTGCTCATCTGGGCTCTTGATGGTCTGAGAGTTGTAATGAAATTTACAGTCAGTAGTCAGAATACTCTGCTACTCTGTTCAATTCTTCTTGAAGAGTGTTTCCTGCCTGTCTAACATGTGATGTGATGACAATTCATTAACCTGGCAGACTGACACACAGCCAGAGACTGTATTTCTGGTGAAGATAATGGCTTGGTAGAGTTCTTTGGCTGCTGGCATCAGAGGCTTGGTCAAATCTGGCACATACTACAGAGTGCTTGATGTAGTGGGACAGGTCTCAAGAGACTCAAGTGCAGAGAGAGAAGATGTTGGTCTGGAGGCAGCTGTAGCTAACAATGGCTGCTAAACAGATATTGATGAGAAAATCTGAGGGCTTGCAGGCTCAGGAAATGAATCTTGCTGGATGCCATACTACTGTTATCTTGTTTTCTGGTACTGGACCTGCACAATAAGTCACACAAGTACCTTATAGACATTCTTACAGTTAGACTTGCTCTTCCAGGCCTGCAGAACCTTGTTGCCAAAGCTCTCTTGAGAAATGGTGTGCTTCATTACAGTAATCCAGCTCTTCTTCAGCACTCTCTTAGCTACCACTTGATGAACAAGGCCCTGGATCTTCTTGTTATAAAGCTCTTGCATAACCTTTTTCAGATCAAGTAGCTCCTTCACTGTCAAGCCAAGCATGGCTTTGACATGAGTCTCATTTATTGTTATCACATTGTACTGAAAGGAATATCATGTCAGTATTTCTTGATCTGATGTCATGCAGAAATCAGGCAGTGGCACAGCAAATCTTTTTGAATTTCACTATCTTTTCAAAATAAAGCAGGATCTTGACTTTATGATGTGTAATTCTTGATGCTGGACAGCTACTTAATCTCTCATGATGGTTCTTGACAGTGATTCAGCATCTTCAGATGTTCAGTCAGCTCTGATCTTGGTGCCTTATGATGCTTAAGTGGGTGATACTGAACTTACAATGCAGCTATTGAATACTGGAAGGGACAACCAAGAGATTTCAAAGTCAATGCAATTATGGTTGAGAAGGTTGTCAGAATCAGAAATGTTGTGGGTGAGAAGCAAAGCTCAAAGCAAAGTATTGATGTGAAGTAAATGTAAACATTACAGAATCTTCCTGATCCTGTAATTATATTGGACCCTCATGGTGAATGCCATTTGCTGTAATTAATGACTTGTCATTGTTTTTGCTTCTCAGTCTGTTCTCAATTCTACATGTCAAAAAGCCATCCAAGACCTGCCCCACAATATCTTGCCAACTACTGCTGATCCACCTTCTATCACATTTTCATTACCTTGCTAAGTGCCTGCCCGCCCAGGTGGTGCAGCTGAGCAGCATGAGCTGCAGATACTGGATTCATGAAAAATGTCAGCTTAGTGATTACTGCAAGTTCCAGCACAGTCTGTCAACACAAGCATCTGGAGATGACATCTCAAGTAAAATTAAAAAAAAGGAGATAGCTCACTGCAAGTTCTGGCTGAGGGGAAACTGCATTCAAGAAATAAAATGCTGGTTTGAATATGTTTCAGCAGAAAAGAGATGTGCCCTGCAGAATGAGTGTAGCAAAGATATGAACTTAAGAGTCCTATTCTGCAGCAATTTTCTTGATTGTGGCTGACTGGAGCACAGAGCTAGACCACATGTATGAGTATTCTGTCTGCAGAGAGACAACAATACCCATAATCTTTCCAGTACTATCAAACTGCATCCATTGCATTTGTTCAGATAAGAGACTCTGTTTAGTGATGTGCTTGTTGCAATACTGATGCTGATAGAGGTCCACAGAGTGCATCACAACCATTCAAGAACAGAACAAGAATGGATTGCCCTGGATACCAGGCAATAACCTGCTGAAAAACAGAGGATGTTGTCCACTGTATCATTCCTCCATCTATTTTGTTATGATAGCCTCAGTCTGGCCACTCACTGAAGATGAGCACTTGGCTGCAATCAAGTAGTATCTGAGATGTCAAAAGGAAACACCATGCTGGTTCTTTAAAGCCAGCTTTAGGAAATGGAGACAGAATGAGTATAAGACAGAGTATCTTTATTGTTCCTGGAGGAACAGATGCCACTTCAAGCACTAACTTCCTGGTTCAACCACTCCCTTCCACTTCAAATGGTCTTTTGTGCAGGCAATAATGGACTGACAGCAGAAGATGAGAAGAGAAAAGACACTAGAAGTGTCTCCAGAGGTGGCTGGTGTCCAGTCAATCCCAGACATCTATAACATTGACTCTGATAAGAACTCAGAGGTTGGAATGCCCATGACTGAAGAAGAAGATCAAGAGCTGGTGACCATAAGACAGACCCTCTCAAGAGCTGAGTTACTTACATGAGTTGTTGATAGAGAATTTGAATGGATATGTGAATGTGCACAGCTGGAACAGGAGAGACAGGCACAAGAAAATCATGAAGAGCAGCTACTTCAGCTATATCAATTCTGGTAGTGCAGCACCAACAGTGAAATTCAAAAACCAATAGCTAATGCAGAGATGAAAATTCATTCTAATTTCAAGATTTTGTGCTTGTTTATCTTTCTTAATTTCCTTGATGCAGCAGGGAAAGTGACTGCAAATGTTTGCCATCAGTTTTGACTGTCAATTTTGACCATTGTCAATTTTGGCTGTTGTGACCAATTTTGGCTGTGTCAATTTTTACTATCATCAATTTTTACAGTCAATTTTGGCTGTATCAATTTTGACCACCATGACCAATTTTGGCTGGCGTCAATTTTGGCTGTCGTCAATTTTGACTGTTGTCAATTTTGACCGTCAATTTTGGCGTTGTCAATTTTGACCATCATCAATTTTTACTGTCAATTTTGGTGTTGTCAATTTTGACCATTGTCAATTTTGGTGTCATCAATTTTGGCATCATCAATTTTGACCATTGTCAATTTTGGTGTCATCAATTTTGACCATCATCAATTTTGACTGACAATTTTGGTGTTGTCAATTTTGACTGACAATTTTGGCGTTGTCAATTTTGACTGTCAACTTTGACTGTCATCAATTTTGACCATTGTCAATTTTGGTGTCATCAATTTTGGCATCATCAATTTTGACCATTGTCAATTTTGGCCATTGTCAATTTTGACCATCAATTTTGGTGTTGTCAATTTTGACCATCACCAATTTTGACCATTGTCAATTTTGGTGTCATCAATTTTTACTGTCAATTTTGGTGTTGTCAATTTTGACTGTCAATTTTGGTGTTGTCAATTTTGACCATCATCAATTTTGACCATTGTCAATTTTGGTGTCGTCAATTTTAACTGTCAATTTTGACCATTGTCAATTTTTACTGTCAATTTTGGTGTCGTCAATTTTGACTGTCAATTTTGGCGTTGTCAATTTTGACTGACAATTTTGGTGTTGTCAATTTTGACCATCAACTTTGACTGTTGTCAATTTTTACCGTCAATTTTGGTGTTGTCAATTTTGACCATCAATTTTGGTGTTGTCAATTTTGACTGTCAATTTTGGTGTTGTCAATTTTGACCATTGTCAATTTTGGTGTTGTCAATTTTGACTGTCAATTTTGGTGTTGTCAATTTTGACTGTCAATTTTGGTGTTGTCAATTTTGACTGTCAATTTTGACCATTGTCAATTTTGGCTGTTGTCAATTTTGGTGTTGTTAATCTTGACCATTAATTTTGGTGTTGTCAATTTTTGCTGCCATATTCAGTTTTGACTGTCCTGACCATCATCAGCTTTGGACTGCTATCAGTTTTGACCAGTTTTGCCTGTTGATAAAAATCACTACCACTAAGCAAAAAATCCCTTGCATGAGTTGGTTTGGAGTATGAAATCTTGGCAACAAAAATGAACTCTTGTCTGAGGTTGGTGTTGGATAATTATTTTTCCAATCCAACAAAATTCCGCAACAGAAATATCACCAAATTCACAACAATATCATGCACCTCCTGCAATCTCAATAGACAAAATTAAACCACAATTTTTGAATAGCAAAAAGATCTCATGGAGAGGATTCTTTTGGTGGTAATCTTAATTGAAACCGCCCACTGGTTGTGGAGAAAAAGGCCATGTAATGGAAATTACAAATTGGGTTAGCATGAAAAAGGATGCTAACCCAATTTGAATTTCTGTTACATCTACATTTTTGCCAATAACTCCACAACCATCCATCGTACAGACATAAGAGTACCACTGTTCGAATCGTCTCGCCGAGCTGGTTAGAATGGGCCTATTTTTGTTTAAAAATATCAAGTTTTGAATGTTATGTTTTAGTCACTATTTGGCCTATAGAATACAAACCCAACATGAGAGTACCACCGTTCAAATCCTCTCTCTGACCTGCTTACAATGCCCCTATTTATGTTACTCTACATCAACTGCTTGTGGAGAGAAACACCATGTCACAGAAATTACAAATT